TTGACTAGTATACTGTACACTATTCGATTCACAATATGAAATGCTATCAGACGATAGCATCGTGAAATTTTCTGTATACAAATTAACTATATTGCACAACACACATATGTTATATTTTTTAGTATACTGATTGGTACATGTAAGGAAAGAGCATGTATTAGAACACAAAATAATGCACTGTAGCAAATATATAATCATAAATGTCAGCGTGCTATGCTTAGTACACTACAATACTTGTCCACTACAGCACAACAAGCAAGATATGCAAGCTATTATACAAACAAACATACAACGTGTGACGCATGAAACATGACAACAAACGAACAAATGGAATTTATTGTGACAATAACAATATGAGTATTAAAAGTTCAGAAAAGTGTTACAGGTAGAAATCAGGACCCCGTGGTTCGTCACTCCCACAGTATTTTATGACTCCAAACCATTTCTACCTTCGTGTATGTGAGTGTATTTCACAGCAGAGATTAGGACCCCGTGGTTGGTCACTTCCACAGTATTTTAAGACTCCAAACCCTCTCTGTCTGTGTAAGTGTAGGTTGTTGTGTTTATGTATCTAGAGCAAAGATGAAGAGCAACATATTACCGATTTAAAGAAAATGTCATTAGTAATATTCAAAAGACCTTCAAATTTTCCATATTTATAGATGAAACATCAGATATTACTAACGACAAATAGATGACGTTTTTTGTCCGATACGTAGATTCCGAAACTTTAGATGGTTGGTCTCAACTAGTTAAATTAATTGATTTGGATGCGAGAGATTGTAGTGCAGATAAATTATTTAATGCTTTTAAATCCGAAATGTATTAACTACAGATTCCATTCACTAATATTATTTCTTTATCGTGTGATAATGCATCTGTAATGACGGGAAAACATTTATCGTTCCAAAAAAAACTACAAGAAAAATGTAAACATTTAATAACTTTTGCATGTCTTTGTCACGCTGCCGCGTTAGCCGCGCATGCTGCATGCAGCAAAATTCCAGAAATCGTGTGAAGACTTTATCAGAAAAATTGTGAGTTTTATTAACAGTAGTCCGAAGCGTACNGCTATTTTCAGAGAATTTTGCGAATGTTTTAACGATACTGATCGCAAACTTTTAAAATTATGTGATACACGATGGTTATCGCGTTATGCATGTGTCACCAGAATTCTTCAAACATGGGATAGTATAAAACACTTTCTTCTTCAAATGGTAACGAGCGAAAAAACAACTTCAGGGGAACACTTATTATCTCTAATAAACACTATAGATATGAAAGCATATTTTCTATTTTTAAGATACGTTTTACATTTTTTTAACGCCTATAATGCTTTTTTTCAAGCTAAAGAAACAAGAATTCATTATTTACATTCTAAGTCAGTTAAGTTCCTTACGCAAATTTCGGAAAACTTTTTGAAACCTGAGGTATTACAACACTTACTTTCTAATATAACATTTTCTGAGCAGAACAATCAAAAACCTATTACTGATATTTACTTAGAATCAGAATGTGAAGAATATTTAAAAGAGTTAGCGAAANAAGGACAAGCAAATGTTATATTAAATATAAGACAAAACTGTTTACAATTTTATGTTACCGCCGCGGAAGAAATTAAACAAAGGTTACCTATTCATGTTACATATTCCTATATAAATTACAAAGTTTTCATTCGCGTATAGCTTTAATGGACAGCAACAGAGAATCATCCTTTAATGATATTTCTTTCATCGCAAAAAGATTAAGTGGTTTTGATGAAAATGGATTAAAAGAAAANTGGCTTAAATTATATGACGATTTTACTATTGAAGAAAAAAAGTATTTTGCTACATTAAATTTCGATACTATGTGGAAAGACATTTTAAAACGTCAATCTGATAATATGGCAAAATATCCTAATTTGAAATCACTACTGAATGCTATTAGATCATTACCAAATTCCAATGCCGATTCTGAAAGAATATTTTCNTTATTGACTGCGTTAAAATCCAAAAACCGAAACAGACTTTCTTCGACCAATGTGAATGCCACATGCGTGTTCAAATCTGCGTTGTTGACGAGGGGGGAAACTGCTGTAGACATGAAGATAAATGAAAAGCATTTATTGTTCATGTCTACATCAACATTATATACAAATCCAGCCAAAAAAATAAAAAACGTTCTTAAATTGTATCCTGCCGAACTTCCAGGTCCCTCTTCGTCTTCAACGCAGTAAGAATTACTGCATATAACATATGAATAATGTTCAAAAGATTACATATTTTTGTTACAATATATACATACACTCACACACACACCGATGTATGTATATATATATATGTATATATATATGTATATTATTTTTTGAACACTATTACTTATGTTATATGTATTATGATAGTGTATATAATATATGAGTATTCAAAATTTCAGAATAGGGGAGACCTAGGTGAAATGAAACAGAGGTAAGTTGAAACAATGACGATATTTAAAAACCTATAACAGTTGACGATTTGGCAACAATGTAGTTTTAATATACGTAAAATAACAGTCGACTATAGTAAACATCGACGATGTACGGTGAGCGGTTGCATTTCTGTGACGTTCGTGCAATAAAATCAGCCTAAAGTAAGTTTTCGTAATATTTTCTGGAATGTAGTATTTCTTTTGGTTATATATGTTACTTAGTTTGACTTTGATATTTTTGTAGCCTAATACTTTAAGTTTTTGATGTAAAGTTAATTTTTTTAATACTTATTATTTTGTAAGAAATATTTGTAATAAAGTTTCAAAAGGTTAACTTTATATGATCGAGGTAGGTTGACACACTTTGTTTCAACTCACCTCGATTCTAGGTTTTTATCATATTTTACTTTGTTATACTATAATTTGCATGGAAATAATTTCTTATTGTTATAGAATGCCAAATAAATACGTTCGTAAGACTGATCGAGGTTTAGCTGGCGTAGAGATATATGAGCTTGCTGCAAAAGAGGTTAATTTAAGGCAAAAGAGCCTTAGAGATGCTGCGTCGTCATATAATGTGAATTATTCTTCTTTACATCGATTTATGAAAGCTAAAAAAGCCTTTGATGAAGATGGAAGTCAAAATTTGCCCAGCGTTGGATATTTCAAAAATTTTGTATTTACTGCACAAGAAGAGAAGCTACTATGTGAGTATCTTCTTACTTGTTCAGCTGCTAATTATGGTCTTTCTGCGAAAGAATCAAGACGCTTAGCATATCAACTGGCTAAAGAACATAATAAAACAATGCCTGTTTCATGGGGAAAAAACCAAATGGCTGGAGAAGTATGGTTAAAATTATTTATGAAAAAACACATCCAAGTCTCTGTTTGCGGTCTCCTCAAGCTACGAGTTTGAGTCGTGCTACCAGCTTTAACAAGGTCAATGTTAATTTGTTTTTTGAAAATTATACTAATGTTTTAAACAAGCATGGATTTAACGCTGTCGACATCTGGAATATGGATGAAACTGGTGTTACCACAGTTCAAACACCAAATAGAGTGATAGCTCGAAAGGGAGCAAAACAAGTTAGTGCCATGACATCGGCAGAACGAGGCACGTTGGTTACACTTGCTCTTGCTGTGAATGCTATAGGAAATAGTATTCCACCTATGTTCATTTTCCCTCAAAAACGTTTCCAAGATCATTTTATACGTGACGGTCCAATTGGGTGCATTGGAACTGGAAATGTTTCAGGTTGGATGGTAGAAGAAGACTTTTATAAATTCCTGCAACATTTTAAAAACCATGTTAGGCCTTCCTCCAAACATAAAGTATTGATGATACTTGACAATCATAATTCTCATATGGCTGTGAAAAATATAGAATATTGCAAGCAAAATGGAATAATTTTATTGACATTTTTTCCACACTGCACCCACAAATTGCAGCCATTGGACCGTGCTGTTTTTGGCCCTTTAAAAAAAGCTATTAATACTTCTTGCGACAATTGGATGCGTTCAAATCCAGGAAAAGTCATGACTATTTACGACATTCCTAGAATCGTGAAAACGTCGTTTGAAATAGCAATAACAACAAAAAATATAACTTCAGGATTTTCTGCATGTGGAATCTGGCCTGTTAATACAGCAATCTTTACAGAGCAAGATTTTCTACCAAGTCAAGTTACAGACCGTCCTTTGAATAATTCAGGGATAGAGGCAACACTTAACCGACAAAGTTTCTCTACATCAGCTGAGATTAATACTCCTTCAACATCAACTTCTATTGCAGTGACTGATATTGATAGAGTTGCAACAGTGAAAGAATTTATTTCTTCTGTTTCAAATGCATCTTGTTCATCAAATACTGCAGAAAAAGTATTTTCACCTGAAGTTATCAGACCGCTGCCTAAAGCTTCACCAAGAAAGGGCACTCAAAATAGAAAAAAAATCAAATCGGCTATTCTGACAAATACTCCTGTCAAAGAAGAATTAGCACAAATACAAGCTAAAAGAAATCTTAAAAAAATTAAAAAGAGAGTATTTGATGGAGAACAAAAACCAACTAGCAAAAACAAGCAATTAAAATCTGCCCAAAACAATAGAACTGAGAATGATGACACTGAAGATTGTTTCTGTTTATGTTGTTTGGAATCATTTTCAAACAGTAAATCTAATGAAAAATGGGTGCAATGCAT